ATTTACTACAATGTTGAACATTGGATGCAACACAAACACGCACTGGGTAGAACATCTGGTTCGTTGGTCTAGGGGTATGATTCCCGCTTTGGGTGGGGAGGTCCCGGGTTCAAATCCTGGACGAGCGCGGGCATTTCTTTCAATTCGAGCGCATATTATTTACTACAATGTTGTACATTGGATGCAACATGGGTTACAGATTAGTGTAGATATAAGTTCCATGTTAGAATAAGCAATGTTTCAGGATAAGTAATTATTAAATGTAAATATAGGTTAGTTAATTAAGTAACAAACAAACGCCTTCTCATTAGTAATATTTAAAGTAACTAGTCTCTTACAGGATCGCGACGTCACGGTAAGGTTGTAGAAAGACCGCGAATGTACAAACAATAATAATAAATTAGAGCATGACTAAAGGAGTATAGTAAATAAATGAAAGGATATTCATGACAAATAAAGAGGGGTCCATGACAATATATATATATATATATATATATATATATATATATAGTTCACCCCTACTATTATTAGCTTTACGACAAGGGTCTACGAGTGAAAATGTTAATTATTTATACCCTAGAATATTCAATAAAAATTGTTAATATCTAATAGTATTTCATGATTTTATTGTTAATCATATATATAGTTTATCCCTAGTATTATCAGCAATATGACAAGGGCCTATTGTAATTATTGTTTGTGCTATATATAATTTACTCCTATTATTATCAACAGCACAACAAGAGGCTCCGTGACGCAATTGGCTAGCGCATTCGGCTGCTAACCGAAATAGTATTTCATGATTTTATTGTTTATCATATGTATAGTTTACCCGTTGGGCTTTAACCAAAAGGTTGATAGATTGAACCCACCCGGGGGCGTACAATAATTGTTATTCATACCCATTATTGTTCAATAATTATAATTATCAGTTCGATTGTAGCAGCCGAGCGATTCACATCGAATAAATAAATCGTAAATAATTGCATAATGTCTTCCGAGTCGGATGGTCAGTGCGGCCGACCACCTGACCCAAACCTTTTTACCTGCCGCTCTGCGATTGGAGAGTCAACAGCAGATGCAAGAAACACTAGCTTAAATAGATTGAGTGACATGGATTTTTGTGATACTGAAAGTGTAATTAGTGTAGAAAATGAATCAGTTAGTAGTTGTGATTTGAATATTAAGAATAGTGTTAATGTTAATTATAAATATAATATCAACGATGTAAGTGCAGATAATAATAAAAGGGAAACGTTAGAACTAAAGGAATATAAAGGGGAAAACAGTAATTTAGCGTTAAATAACAGTGATACAACAATGGAAATAACAAAAGATCTAATAAGTGACGACAACAATATAAACGATCAAAATAAATCAAATGAAAGAGTTAATCCATTAAATAATTTGATACGTTTTGAAGGTTGCGATATGGGCCCTTACCCTAAAGTAACCTTGATTCTTGAGATTTGCACAAGAGATTTTCCTCCAAATATTGTCGTTAACTTGAGTAAATCTGTTTGTGAAAACAACGGCGCCGTGGCTTGAGATTTTCCTTAAAATATTGTAGTTAACTTGAGTAAAACTGTTTGTAAAAATAACGGCGCCGTGGCTTAGTTGGTTAAAGCGCCTGTCTAGTAAACAGGAGATCGTGAGTTCGAATCTCGCCGGAGCCTTGAATTTTTATATTTTTGTATTCTGCCCTAAAGGAGCCTTGATTCTTGAGATTTTCACAAGAGATTTTCCTCAAAATATTGTCGTTAACTTGAGTAAATCTGTTTGTGAGAACAACGGCGCCGTGGCTTATTTGGTTAAAACGCCTATCTAGTAAACAGGAGATCGTGAGTTCGAATCTCGCCGGAGCCTTGAATTTGATTTCCTTGCGTTTTGTCCTGAAGGAGCCTTGATTCTTGAGGTTTTTGCAAGAGATTTTCCTCAAAATATTGTCGTTAACTTGAGTAAATCTGTTATTCACAAAATATTGTGAAAACAACGGCCTCAAAATATTGTCGTTAACTTGAGTAAATCTGTTTGTGAAAACAACGGCGCCGTGGCTTGAGATTTTCCTCAAAATATTGTCGTTAACTTGAGTAAATCTGTTTGTAAAAATAACGGCGCCGTGGCTAAGTTGGTTAAAGCGCCTGTCTAGTAAACAGGAGATCGTGAGTTCGCCGGAGCCTTGGATTTGACTTTTTGTGTTCTGCCCTAAAGGAGCCTTGATTCTTGAGATTTTCCTCAAAATATTGTCGTTAACTTGAGCAAATCTGCTTGTGAAAATAAAGGCGCCGTGGCTTAGTTGGTTAAAGCGCCTGTCTAGTAAACAGGAGATCGAGAGTTCGAATCTCGCCGGTGCCTTGAATTTGATTTTTTTGTGTTCTGTCCTAAAGGAGCCTTTTTTTATGATTTTATTGACATCTATTTAATAATATACAGTCATCCCTTATAACTAACTTAATCTGTTCTTACATTTTCAATAGTGATTTAAATAATAATAAATTCAAATTTCAATAATTTTAATTAGATTAAATAACTAGCTTAATTAAATTGATAATTTAACTTAGTTGTCTATAAATATTTTTAGCACTCAAATAAATATTTGGTTACATCTTTATATATACTCATGTTTTTCATAGCTAATATTATTGTCGTATTCGTTGGAAAAACTATATTTTTTGTTCTAGGCGTTGGTAAAGCGCTTTTCTTTGTGTTGTATATTTCTTGCATCGAAAAACAATATGATCCGTATTTTCAGGCCCTCCCTTTTCGCAGTCGCACTCTTCGAACCTCGATAGTCCATCTCGTAGCCGAAAAGATCTATTTTTTGTGTGTCCAATTCGCATTCTTATGACGGTAGTGATGTGCATGCGGTTTTCTGTTATCTTTTGAAACCACGGTTTCGAATGCATATCTGAATTTATTTCGCGATATATTTTTCCTTTTCTTTGACTAATGTTGTCAAATATACTTTGCCATTTTTCTCTTTGTTCTTTCATGACTATTTTGTTGATATCTGCTGATAGAAGGCTGCTTATTTCGGTACCCAAATAACATCCCTCTTTGCCAGCTCGTCCGCCTTTTCATTTTCGGTTATTCCTGCATGTCCCTTCATTCACATAAATTTTAGGTCAAATCCTTTCCTTCTTAGACTCATAGTTTTATCTATTATTTCATATACTATTTTATTAGCTTTTTTGTAAGTTCTTTTTATAGCTTCTAGAGCTGATTTACAGTCAGATAGAATAACACTCTTTGTAATTTTTTCTTCTTCTATTAAATTTATTGCTATTTTGATGGCCGTCATCTCGGCAGTGAAACTAGAAGCACTTTCGGGCAATTTATATTTCTGTTCTATATTGAGTCGGGGTACATACACGGCACAACCAGCACCATCTTTCTTTGATCCATCCGTAAAAATAAGAGTGTAATTTGGATGTGTTTTATTTATTTCTTGTTTGAATATAAAGTTCATTTTGTCTCTTTGTATCAAAGGATTGTCAGTAATTTTATCTATTATTATGCTGTTTTGGTTTACCCACCTATATTCCAAAGGATAGCGGAATTGGCGATCTAGATCTTGCGCTATTAACTGTTTATATTTATTTATCCATAGGTAGCTACTCACTAAGATCGGGTTTTCTTTTCTGCTCCAATATGTATTTCCCTCACATAAATCCTTTAGATTATTCAATGTTTGTAACACTATTTTGTCGTTTCTGCTTACCTTCGATATTAAATATCTTTTTGATATTATTTCCCACCTTGATTCTAGAGGTAATTCTCCGGACTCTGCAAATAGTGTATTTATTGGTTGTACATTGGATGCAGCACAAACACGCACTGCATAGAACCCGTGGCTAGTTGGTCTAGGGGTATGATTTTGGCTTAGATAATAAATGTAAGTGGCAAATCATATGTAAAATGTGTTTATAGAGTATACCTCGTGGCTCGTTGGTCTAGGGGTATGATTTCCGCTTAGGGTGCGGGAGGTCCCGGGTTCAAATCCCGGACGAGCCCGTACTTTTCTTTAAATTCGGGCACATATTATTTACTACAATGTTGAACATTGGATGCAACACAAACACGCACTGGGTAGAACATGTGGTTCGTTGGTCTAGGGGTATGATTCCCGCTTTGGGTGGGGAGGTCCCGGGTTCAAATCCTGGACGAGCGCGGGCATTTCTTTCAATTCGAGCGCATATTATTTACTACAATGTTGTACATTGGATGCAACATGGGTTACAGATTAGTGTAGATATAAGTTCCATGTTAGAATAAGCAATGTTTTAGGATAAGTAATTATTAAATGTAAATATAGGTTAGTTAATTAAGTAACAAACAAACGCCTTCTCATTAGTAATATTTAAAGTATCTAGTCTCTTACAGGATCGCGACGTCACGGTAAGGTTGTAGAAAGACCGCGAATGTACAAACAATAATAATAAATTAGAGCATGACTAAAGGAGTATAGTAAATAAATGAAAGGATATTCATGACAAATAAAGAGGGGTCCATGACAATATATATATATATATATATATATATATATATAGTTCACCCCTACTATTATTAGCTTTACGACAAGGGTCTACGAGTGAAAATGTTAATTATTTATACCCTTATAGTATTTCATGATTTTATTGTTAATCATATATATAGTTTATCCCTAGTATTATCAGCAATATGACAAGGGCCTATTGTAATTATTGTTTGTGCTATATATAATTTACTCCTATTATTATCAACAGCACAACAAGAGGCTCCGTGACGCAATTGACTAGCGCATTCGGCTGCTAACCGAAATAGTATTGCATGATTTTATTGTTTATCATATGTATAGTTTACCCGTTGGGCTTTAACCAAAAGGTTGATGGATTGAACCCACCCGGGGGCGTACAATAATTGTTATTCATACCCATTATTGTTCAATAATTATAATTATCAGTTCGATTGTAGCAGCCGAGCGATTCACATCGAATAAATAAATCGTAAATAATTGCATAATGTCTTCCGAGTCGGATGGTCAGTGCGGCCGACCACCTGACCCAAACCTTTTTACCTGCCGCTCTGCGATTGGAGAGTCAACAGCAGATGCAAGAAACACTAGCTTAAATAGATTGAGTGACATGGATTTTTGTGATACTGAAAGTGTAATTAGTGTAGAAAATGAATCAGTTAGTAGTTGTGATTTGAATATTAAGAATAGTGTTAATGTTAATTATAAATATAATATCAACGATGTAAGTGCAGATAATAATAAAAGGGAAACGTTAGAACTAAAGGAAAATAAAGGGGAAAACAGTAATTTAGCGTTAAATAACAGTGATACAACAATGGAAATAACAAAAGATCTAATAAGTGACGACAACAATATAAACGATCAAAATAAATCAAATGAAAGAGTTAATCCATTAAATAATTTGATACGTTTTGAAGGTTGCGATATGGGCTCTTACACTATATTTGTTGAATCCAAGGACAAAAATATAGGCCGACTGCACCCGATGGCCTTGGGAAAAATCATACATAATGCAGGGGCATATTTCAAATTTGGTTTGACAGAAGTTTCGGTTATAGGAAAAAATAAAGTAAAGATGGAATTTAAAAGCGCCAGGGTGGCGAACAAAATTCTAGATGACAAAATTTTAGAAAAAAATAATCTGAAGGCATACATCCCGAAATACCTACTTGTAAGGCATGGCATAATATTTGATGTGGATGCCAATCTCTCAGAACAAGAAATTATAAACGCCATTGAAACAGATATTCCGATTATAGACGTGGTATGTTTAAGACCGAAAAATAATAATACAATAAAATACTCATCACAATGTGTCAAATTAACGTTTAGGGGCACAAGTTTACCGAATAAGGTAGCTATACATTCGGTAAAATGTGAGGTTCGACCGTTTGTACAGAAAGTGGTCCAATGCTACAAATGCTGTCGATTCAATCACGTTAAGGACCAATGTAGAGGAAAAGAGAGATGTATGAAATGTTCCGGAGAACATAATGCGAAAATATGTATAGCATCCAAATTTCTATGTGCGTTGTGCAATGGGGATCACCCTGCAAATGATAAAGAATGCACGGTATTTATTAAAAATAAAAAATTAAAGAAATTATGGCTTGGCAGAATCTAGCATACCATGAAGCCAGAAATATATTATATAAAGACAGCTATGCAAACAAGTCAAAAGCCGGATTCAGTTTCACGGGCAAAGATAAAGAATTTCCAGGTTTGTATGCAAAACCTGCATCTAGTACAGACAGCAAGATAACTAAAAATAGGTTCGACGCCCTTTCTGATTTAGAGGAGGAGGAGCAACCGGAATTTTTAAATCCGACAACCTTTCATAAACCTAAAAGAGCGACTTACAAAATTACCAAAAGCAATACTCCATTCAATTCTGGATCCTCAATAAAAAAACAGTCAGTGAAGGAACCTGTATCAAATAGAAATAACAAAACCGAATTTAACCTCAACCCAAGAAAAAGGTTAAAACCGAGCGTGGAACGTGAATCTGCAATAGTCGAAAATAATGTTGAAGCAATGTTCAACAAGATGGTTCATTAAATTTCTTAAACGAATTCATTGAAAAAATTAAACATATATACATTCCTAGTAGCGCTGAACATTATAACCTGTTGTCAGAAATACTAAACAAAATGATGAGGTCCAAAGTTGGACCCGACAAACAAGTTTGATTTGGCTGTGAGCACAGTATATTACGTATGGAAGCTTAAAATTATTTAGTGATAATAACTTAAAAAAAAAAAATAATAATAATAATGCTAAAAATTATTCAAATCAATATCAGATCTGTTTTTTCAAATAAGCTGCATCTAGAATCCTATTTAAACACCAACCATATAGATATCGTAATATTATCTGAAACATGGCTCAAAGATAATAATAGATTTCAGATATCTGGATACGCCTTTATATCAAAGAATAGGGAAGATGGTTATGGAGGAGTTGGAATACTTATCCACCGAAGATACCAATTTCAGACGTTAAATTTAAACAGTTTCATTACCAATAAAATTCAGATTTGTGGAATTAAGCTGGCCATACATAACATAACACTTAATATTGTGGCGATTTATTGTGCCCCCGGGCACAAGACAGGAACGGAATATTGGGTGTCGCTATTCCAGGAACTAAATCAACCGTTAATACTAGCAGGGGACTGTAATGCTCACCACATAAGTTTTGGAGGGTTAAAAAACAATAATGCAGGCATAAATCTTAGTGAAGCCATAAACTCAGAGGGTTTATGTCTTATGAATGACGGAACACCTACAATGATAAGAAGACACGATAGGAATCCTTCCGCGGTAGACTTAACAATATGCAGCCCATCAGTGATGATTAGGGCTGAATGGAGTGTATTAAATGAAACTCTAGGGTCTGATCATTTAGCAATTAGTATTAATGTTAAATTAGGCAATGATAATAAGTTTAAATACAATCATAGTCCAGTAAACAGATATCGGTGGAAAATTAAAGATGCAGATTGGTCAGGTTATGCGCAAACTGTAGACAGAATGTTGTCGAATACTAATCTCAACTCTAATCCGATGATTTCCTATTCCAAGTTTATTGAATGCATTAATAATGCAGCACTAATGAATATTCCAAAAACAAATCCGTATTTGGGTACGAAATATAGAAATAAATCAAATCCTTGGTGGGACGAGGAGTGCAACAAAGTGAAGAAAATAAAATCGGAAGCAATTAAGAAATACAAAGAAATACCAAACATAGACAATTATATAAAATACAAGCGAGCGGTAGCTAAGTGTCGATTTGTATTTAAAAAGAAAAAATACGATAAATGGACAGAGTTTTGTAACTCTTTCTCCAGAGACATGTCTTCACAACAAATCTGGCACCATGTAAAGGTCATGAAAAATGGAGCCACTCGAACCAATGCATTTCCTAATAACTTAGCTGATCAGTTTCTTAACTCACTTACTCCGGATACGGTAATTAATGACGTCAACATACAGGACATGGAAAAAAATGACGAATTAGAAGGTCCCTTTACCATTGATGAATTACATTTGGCACTAGAAAGGAATAATACTGCGCCGGGTAATGACAATATACATTACCCCATGCTAAGTAACCTATCAGATAAGGGAAAAAAAATTCTACTGAAGGTCTTCAACGACATCTGGACTAAAGAGATTGCTGTAAAAGACTGGAGGACATATATCACAATACCAGTTCTAAAGCCTAATAAGGATGCAACAAAAATAGAATCATATCGGCCGATTTCTCTAGCGTCATGTATGTCCAAAACATTCGAACGCTTAATGAAAAGAAGAATCGAGTGGTGGCTCGAGAATAAGAAGAAATTGCCAAGTTACATGCAAGGTTTCAGAAACAAAAGAGGCACGTATGATGTTCTAACTAGTTTCGTCTATGAAATTCACAACAACCTGGCCAAGAAAAATTGTGTATTGACTATCAACTTGGATTTGGAGAACGCATACAACAGGGTTCAAATACCGATTTTAATAAACATTCTATATGAATTAAAACTCCCTAAGAGATTTATTGTTCACATTTATCACTTATTGAAAGATCGAAAATTAGTCCTCAGATGTAAAGATACACATTATGGGCCACGGTATATGTCGGAAGGCTTACCTCAGGGTTCTGTCCTTAGTCCCTTGTTGTTCAACGTATACACGGCACACCTTCAAAATGAGATTGGCCAGGACGCTCGGATCATGCAATATGCAGATGATCTAATATTATCACATAGTGGAGTGTCATTAAATGATGTGATCAAAAAAATGGATCAGACCATGACGTCATTTGGAAAATGGACCACATCACTGGGATTTTCAATCTCCGAGAATAAAAGTGCAGTATCGTTTTTCACCAGACAAAGGAATTCTATTGCGATGGAGTCAATAAAATTAGGTAGATACACCTTAAAAATACAAACTACCACAAAATGTCTGGGTTTGACTATAGATAACAAATTACGATGGGGTCCACATTTGGAAAATCTGTCAAAAAATGTGAAGATGCATTAAATATCTTGAGAGTATTAAATCACATGATGTATGGCGCTGACGTGAAGGTTGCAATCAGGATATATAAACAGCTTATATTATCTAAACTTGATTATGGCTGCTTCATTTATGGGGATGCAAGTAAAAATCTACTACGCAAACTGGATACCCTGCAAAATAAAGCTATAAGGTATTGCCTGGGAGTTTTGCGTTCAACGCCCATTAACGCCTTACATGTGGAAGCACACATAATGCCTCTGCATTTGAGGAGGAAACTGTTAGCAACGAAATTCGTTATTGACAGAATAAGGTCCAACAACGTAGAGGTGATACAAAAAATTAGTAGTGCTAACAACTGTCAGAACAGACAATATTGGCAGAATAAGAAGAAACCTATACTTATGTCAGTGATCTCAGAAACTGAATACAAATGCAAGCCATTAGAAGAACAAAACAAAGCAACAAAATTCTACTTCAACTATGAAATCACGACTACAAACCTTCAAAATATCATACAGACGGAATTTTGTAATATATATAGCAGTCCAATTGATTGGGGGTATAGATTAGAAATTGAAGATAAAATTAAAAACACGTTTCCGGACTTCGAGGTTTTCTTCACAGATGGTTCAAAAGGTCCTGAGGGCGTAGGTGCTTGCATCTATCATCAGAACACTAACTTATATACTGAATATAAGTTAGATATAAATGCGTCGATTTATACAGCTGAAATGTACGCCATAAACAAATGTATTCGGAACATCGCCTCACTTAGCTTGGAGAAAGCCGTTGTATTCAGTGATAGCCGATCATCTTTAGAGAGCCTGCTATCTATAGGCAGGGACCCAAGTTTTTTAGTGTTAGATACTCTTAATCATATACATAACATACTCTCGAAAAGAAAATCCGTTTACTTAATTTGGATCAAGAGTCATATTGGAGTAACAGGGAATGAAGCTGCTGACAAAGGAGCAAAAGATGCAATAAACACGGGTATAATCGTAGAAGATGGAATATCCCACCAAGATATCAAAAACCTCTTTAAGGCAAAGATATACAAGGAGTGGCAATTGGAATTCCAAGAGTCAAGTCGTGAAAAATGACAGTTTTATGCAGCCATACAAGAACAAATTCCTGTCAGACCATGGTTCGACAAATTTACGAGGAGTCGTCATTTTTACTGCATTTTTAATCGTCTGAGAACCAATCACACCTTTACGCCTTTCCACTTGAATAGGATCGGAATTAACATCAATCCGTATTGTCATTGTCTTGGCGAAGTAAATAATGCAGATGCCAATCACCTAATTATGGAGTGTAGACATATGGAGGAAAAAAGAGAAAAACTATGGAATAAATTAACAAAACTGAGGATCCCACTTTCCACAAACCTGAGACTGATGTTGGCAGACACTGTAACTTATGATGCTATATACGAGTATATATGTGAAACTAGATTAATGGTATAGAGATTCAACATGTGTAATTAAAATTAGGTGTATATGTATATTGATGTGTCTTTGTGTATGTATATGCGTGTATATATATATATATGTATATATATATAGGTGTGTGAATGAGTATGTATGCATGTGGATTTATATATATATATGTATATTAGTCTTAATTTTTGTAGATGTGAAATTCTGTAGACAATGGCCAATGTACAAGCTTACAAAGCCAATAAAAAATAAACAAAAAAAAAAAAAAAAAAAAAAATTATAATTATCGTTTATGCTATATATAATTTACTCCTACTATTATCAACAGCGCGATAAGAGTCTCCGTGGCGCAGTTGGCTAGCGCGTTCGGCTATTAACACAAAGGTTGGTGGTTCGAGCCCACCCGGGGGCGTAAAGTAGTTATTGTTTATACTCTAGAATATTCAATGCATATTGTTTATACTCAATAGTATTTGATAATTATATTATTCATTTCTTTAAATTCGAGCATATATTATTCACTACAGTATTGTATATTGGATCGAGAACATATTATTTACAACAATGTTGTACATTAGTTCCAACACAAAACATGCACTGGATAAAATCCGTGGCTTGTTGGTCTAGGGTTATGATTTCGGCTTAGATATTAAACGTAAGTCGCAAATCATGTGTAAAATGTGTTTATTGTGTAGAACCCGTAGCATGTTGTACATTGGATGCAACACAAATACGAAGTGAGTACAACCTTTTGCTCGTTGGCCTAGGGGTATGATTCCCGCTTTGGGTGCGGGAGGTCCCGGGTTCAAATCCCGGACGAGCCCGAACATTTCTTTAAATTTGAGTGCCTATTATTTACTACAATGTTGTACATTGGATCCAACACAAACACGCAGTGGGCAGTCTAGGGCTCTGATTCCCGCTTTGGGTGCGGGAGATACCGGGATAAATACCGGACGAGCCCCGGACATATCTTTAAATTCGAGCACATATTATTTACTACAGTATTGTATATTGGACCGAAAACATATTAATTACAACAATGTTGTACATTGGTTCCAACACAAACACGCACTGAATAAAATTCGTGGCTTGTTGG